ACGGAATCTTGCTCTGTCACCCAGGCTGGAGGGCAATGGCCCGATCTCGGCTCACTGCAAGCTCTGCCTCCCCAGGTTCAAGTGATTCTCCTGCCTCAGCCTCCCGAGTAGCTGGTACTACAGGTGCATGCCACCACGCCTGGCTAATTTTTTTGGATTTTTAGTAAAGATGAGGTTTCACCATGTTGCCCAGGCTGGTCTCAAACTCCTGACCTCAGGTGATCCACCCACCTCGGCCTCCCAAAGTGCTGGGATTACAGGCATGAGCCACTGTGCCCGACCTGAACTTTCATTAATTAATACTGATGCATCAGTTCTAATAAATGTCTCACACTAATGCAAGATATTGATAATATGTGTGGGCAACACAGCGAGACCTCGTCTCTTCAAAAAGATGAAAAAATTAGTTGAACGTGGTGGTGCACGCCTGTAGTCCCAGCTACTCAGGAGGCTATGGAGGGAGAATCACTTGAGCCCAGGAGTTTGAGGCTGCAGTGAGCTGGACTGCACCTCTGAACTGCAACCTGGGCGACAGAGCGAGACACTGTCTCTATAAAAAGATAAAATCAGCTGTGTGTGGTGGCTTATTTTATCCCAGCACTTTGGGAGACAGAGGCAGGAGACTGGCTTGAGTCCAGGAATTTGAGACCAGCTTGGACAACATAGGGAGACCATCTCTACAAATAATTTAAAAATTAGCCAGGCACAGTGGTGCATGCCTGTAGTCCTAGCTACAGGCTGGAGGACTGAGCCCAGGAGTTTGAGGCTGCAGTGAGCTGTGTTTGAGTGTGGCACTCTGGCCTGGGCAACAGAGCCAGATCCTGCCCCCAAAAGATAATAATAATAAAATAAAATAATGTTTACTAACTAAAAACATTTTTCAGGAAAGGTGTGGGCATATTTATCCATGTCGAAATGACATTTATTTATTTATTTATTTATTTATTTATTTTTCCAAGATGGAGTCTTGCTCTGTCATGCAGGCTGGAGTGCAGTTGCGTGATCTTGGGTCACTGCAACCTCCGCCTCCCGGGTTCAAGTGATTCTCCTGCCTTAGCCTCCTGAGTAGCTGGGACTACAGGTGCGTGCCACCACGCCCAGCTAATTTTTTTTTTTATTTTTAGTAGAGGCAGGGTTTCACCATGTTGGCCAGGCTGGTCTCAAACTCCCGACCTCATGATCTGCTTGCCTCGGCTTTCCAAAGTGCTGGGATTACAGGCGTGAGCCACCATGCCCGGTCAAAAATGACATTTACTACAAGTTCTTCATTGCTGCCTGGTGTCTAGTAGCAGAAGACAGGAGGGCAGGACGTGTGATTTCACTAGAACAATGGTCCAGCCTCCAGATGGAATATTACACTGTCGTTACAAAAGAGGGGGATGTCCTGCACTCGAAGAAAAGACATCAAAGGTGCATTGTTAAGAGGCAACTACGCTGAGCTGCAAGAAAGCACGGGGAGTGTGATGTTGTTTCTGTGGGGAAAAGAAAATATACAGACATGCTTGTTTCCGTGGAGCATGGCTGGAAGGAGAAACAAGAAACCGACTAATGGCCTCTGGGGATGGCCTGGGGCTTGGGGAGCGGCTGGTATTTATTCTAAAGCCTCTGATATCCCCGTTCGGACATGGTAACACGTAAATCCTCTAAAAAAAAAAAAAAAAAAAAAAAAAATGGCGATTATATATAGGAGAGAAAGGAGAAAGAAGACTAGGACTGAGATCCCATGAATTACAGAAAATGCCAAAAAAAAAAAAAAAAAAAAAAAAGCTCTGGAATCTTTCGAATTCTATGGCATGAGTCCGTTTTACCTCTAAAAGAAGGAAGATACATTGTAAAATGCATTTTAGAAAGAATGCTGAGAAAAAAAAAATGGACAAAATAGAAGACTTTGGATTAGTTTTAAAAGGCTAGGGTGGCGGGGGTGGTGGCTGTAGATTTCAGGCCAGGCCATCGCTCTGCCTGCTGCCCCTCAGTTTGGGCTGAATCCCCCACCAGGCCCCACTGCGAGGACCCCCCGAGCGCTGCTCTTGTCCTGGCTCACACCTTTCCTACTCTGGTTCAGCGAGGGTTCAGAGCCCAGTGGGGACCCCTGGAAGGTGAGATGTGGGCTGGGCTGGGGCCAGGGACAGGGCCAAGACTGCCGGAGCCCCTTGCAGCTCGGCCCGACCACCCAGCTTTCCAGGAAGCCCGAGGGGAGGCTTGGCTGGCTCAGAGCAGAGACCTGTGTGCGCCAATGGTGGGGCTGGGGGCCAAATGAGGCCCCTCTGAGCGCCCACGCTCTGAGGAGGACCACAGCAAGTGGAGGGAGGGTGGCTAGAAAAGAGATACGCAGGGAGGGAGGCCCAGGCAGCCCTGTGCCTCAGTTTCCCCATGGGCCAAGTGTCTCACTGGCTGCGTGGCCCTTGTGGACGCAGGGGATGCCCAAGATGATTTGGCACCAGGGAACTATGGCTTCATTGGGTTCTAGCCTTGGATGCTAAGCCAGGTAGGACAAGGGGGGGGCAAGTCCCGCCCCCACTTCTGGAGCCCTGAAGTAATGACTAACCAGCTTTAGGCTTTAAGGCTGCAGCCTCCCACCAGAACACAGCCAGGAGAACGTCAGGTCCTCTCTCCTAAGATCTCTATCCCGTCTACTCCCTCTTCCTCCCGCTGTGCTCTGATGGGGACCCTGTGGGCACAGGGACGTGGCACCCCCAAGCCATTGAGGGCTCTGGGCCCCTCTTGGTTTAGAGACAGGGTCTTGCTCTGTCACCCAGGCTGGAGTGCAGTGGCAGGATCATAGCTCACTGCAGCCTCAAACTCCTGGGCTCAAGTGATTCCTCCACCTTAGCCTCCTGAGTAGCTGGGACTACAGCTGTGTACCACCACGCCTGGCTCCAGCCCCCTTTTTGAGCAGCTCTTTTGGGGGTACCCTAGTGGGCCAGTGTTGGTCCCAGGGGTCTTTGTCAGGACAAGGGAAATGTTTGGCCCAGAAGTGCCTGTCTATGGTGGAAGCAAGATCTGCAGCGGCCACGGTGACTCCCGCCTGTAATCCCAGCACTTTGGGAGGCTGAAGCAGGAGGATCACTTGAGGCCAGCAGTTCAAGACCAGCCTGGGCAACGCAGTGAGACTCCATCTCTACAAACAATTTAGAAATTAGCCAGGTGTGCTGGTGCATGCCTGTAGTCCCAGCTTCTTGGGAGGCTGAGGCAGGAGGATCATCTGAGCCCAGGAGTTTGAGGTTTCAGTGAGCTATGACCTTACCACTGCACTCTAATCTGGGCAACAGGGCAAGACCCTGTCTTATTATTATTTTCTGAGATGGAGTTTTGCTCTTGTCACTCAGGTTGGAGTACAATGGCTCGATCTCAGCTCACTGCAACCTCCACCTCCTGCGTTCAAGCGATTCACCTGCCTCAGCTTCCTGAGTAGCTGGAATTACAGGCTCACACCACGATGCCTAGCTGCTTTTCATTTATTTGTTTATTTTTGTTTATTTATTTATTTTTGGAGACAGAGTCTTGCTCTGTTCCCTCAGGCTGGAGTGCAGTGACACAATCTCGGCTCACTGCAACCTCTCCCTCTCAGGTTCAAGCGATTCTCCTGCTTCAGCCTCCCAAGTAGCTGGGATTACAGGCGCCCGCCACCACGCCCGGCTAATTTTTGTATTTTTAGTAGAGATGGGGTTTTGCCGTGCTGGCCAGGCTGGTCTCGAACTCCTGACCTCAAGTGGTCTGCCGACCTTGGCCTCCCAAAGAGCTGAGATTACAGGCGTTGAGCCACTGCACCTGGCCAAGACCCTTTCTTTAAAAAAAAAAAAAAGTATATATAATATATATACACACACACAGTCAGTAGTTGCTTCATGATGGGTACATGTTCTGAGAAATTCGTCATTAGATGATTTTGCCATGCGCAAACATCCTAGCATACACACGCCCAGATGGTAGCGTGTATTGCACACCGGGCTTCATGGTACCGCCTACTGCTCCCACGCTACAAACCTACAGAGCGTGTGACTGTACTGAATACAGCAGGCGATTGTAACACGACAAGTATTTGTCTCTAAACATCCACAAACAGAAAAGGTACAGTAAAAATACGGTATAAATTCTTATGGGAGCCAAGCACGGTGGCTCACGCCTGGAATCCCAGCACTTTGGGAGGCTGAGGAGGGCAGATCACTTAAGGTCAGGAGTTCGAGATCAGCCTTGCCAACTTGACAAAACCCTGTCTCTACTAAAAATACAAAAAAAAAAAAAAAAAAAAAAAAAATTAGCCGGGCGTGGTCATGGGCAACTGTAATCCCAGCTACTCAGGAGGCTGAGGCAGAGAATCACTTGAACCCAGGAGACGGAGCTTGCAGTGAGCCGAGATCTTGCCACTGCACTCCAGCCTGGGTGACGGAGCGAAACTCCGTCTCAAAAAAACAAAAACAAAAAACAAAAAATTAGCTGAGCATGGTGGTGCGCACCTGTTATCCCAGGTACTCGGGAGGCTGAGGCAGGAGAATCGCTTCAACCCCTGGGTGACAGAGACTCTGTCTCGAAAAAAAAAAAAGTCTTATGGGACCCCCTTCACACATGCAGTCCGTCAGTGACCGAAACGCTGTTATACTGCACATGACTGTTTGTTGAATGAATTCTGAGTCTTGCCCCCGGGTCTGGAGGGCTTCTCTCGCCCTGCCTTCCCGCACTCCACTGCAGCCATCATCTCATCGGGGGGAGAGTGAGAAGAACGCTGACCCCTCTCCCAGCGCCCACACCACCCAGGCAGCAGAGCAGGGCCAGGCAGGGTGCAGAGCCACCACTAAGTGGTTCTCAGGCCCCACCTCTGAACCTCCCACCCTTTGCAGACCAGGAGATTCATTCATTTGTTTATCCATTCATTCGTTCCACGCATAGTTCTCCAGCCCTGCTGCGTTCCTTGGCTGGGTGCCGGGGTGTAAGCAGAGGAGATAACAGCCAGGATACGTCCCAGTCCTCAAGGAGGTACACGTAAATAACACACGTGATGGTGATGCGGGGTTTAGAAACTGGCACGGGCTACGGGCAAAACTAGAAGGCAAATGAGTGTGGGGTGCTGGTGGCCTGGCGGGGGAGAGGAGGAGGTGGCTTGTGAACTGAGAACTGAAGGAGGTGAGGGGTGAACTCAAGAGCTTAGAGACCCCTGGCAGCGGGGCCTGGGTCAGCGCCAGCCCAGGCCAGCGTTATTTATTTATTTATTTATTTATCATACAAAGTCTCACTCTGTCTCCCAGGCTGGAGTACAGTGGCGTGATCTCGGTTCACTGCAACCTCCCCCTCCCGGGTTCAAGGGATTCTCCTGCCTCAGCCTCCCCAGTAGCTGGGATTACAGGCGCCTGCCACAACACCTGGCTTATTTTTGTATTTTTAGTAGAGACAGGGTTTCACCGTGTCGGCCAGTGTAGTCTCAAACTCCTGACCTCAAGTGATCCGCCAGCCTCGGCCTCCCGAAGTGCTGGGATTACACGCATGAGCCATGGCGCTGGGCCAGGACAGTGTTCTTGGAGCCTTGTCTCTGCTGAGGATGTCTCCAGAGATGGGTTCTTGGGAAGCAAGTGCGCGCCCCGCAACCCCCAGGCACCTCTCCTGGGCCAGAAGGCCCCTGATCGCCCACTGCTCTCCCTCACAGCAGGCCTTTACTGTCGCTGTGTGCTCTGCCTGGACCACCCTCCCGCTGGGCACACCTGGAAAAGCCTCTTCATCCTTGGGCCCTCTCTGCTGTGCCGCCTCCTCCTCTAGGAAGCCCTCCTAGCTCCCCAGGGAGGCTCTGCCCCTCAGTTCCATTCCTGACTGCCTGGGGCTGGGAAGGGCTCCATGAAGTTCAGGGTGAACTCCGGAAGGGTCCCCCACAGCCCCCCCAGGGAGCCCGCTGGGGCAGATGTTCTAGACGGGGGCCCTCTTGCGTGTGGGGCAGGAGTGACATCAGCCGTCCACAACCTAGTAAATGTTTATGGGCCAGGGGGCCTGGGCTTTGGGGTTCCCTGGAGCCTAGCAAGAGGCCACCCCTTCCTGTTCCATTCTGGGGGGCCTGTCCTGCAGGCGGGGTGAGGGGGCCTGGCAGGCCTGCGCCAACCTTGGCAGCTAGCCCGGAATGGGCTGGGTAGGCGGCGAGCACAGCCCCTGGTCTGAGCCGTCGGCTCCCTTGAACACGGGGGCACCTGGGGCTGGGAGGTGCGAAGGGGCTTGTTGCCTTTACATTTCCAGTTCCCCCACCCCGGGCGGGCCTGAGTGTGTGATCCGTGGAAGAGGGCTGAGAGATCTGCTGAGTGTGTGATCCGTGGAAGAGGGCTGAGAGATCTGCTGAGTGTGTGATCCGTGGAAGAGGGCTGAGAGATCTGCTGAGTGTGTGATCCGTGGAAGAGGGCTGAGAGATCTGCTGAGTGTGTGATCCGTGGAAGAGGGCTGAGAGATCTGCTGAGTGTGTGATCCGTGGAAGACGGCTGAGAGATCTGCTGAGTGTGTGATCCGTGGAAGAGGGCTGAGAGATGTGCTGAGTGTGTGATCCGTGGAAGAGGGCTGAGAGATGTGCTGAGTGTGTGATCCGTGGAAGAGGGCTGAGAGATCCGGTACAGGGTTTGGGCCACACATGGGCCTGGAGGGCTGGGGAAGGGCTGACAGGGAGCGGAGGCCTGCGTGGAACTGGTCCCAGAAGCGGCTGTGGTGCAGGGCTGAGGGTGACCGTCGTGGGGACTTGGACTAGTCTTTTCTCCTGTCCAGCCTTCGGTGTCCTTGGCTGGAGATTTGGGGCTATATTGCCTATTCCTAGAAGCTGTCACCTGGCTGCTGCAGGCAGGATGCATGGGAAGGAAGGGGGATGAGGGACAGACAAGGACTCGAGTGCGGAGGAAGGGATGGAATCTGACGCCTGTCGTCACCGTGGGGCTGGGGGCCTGGGGATGACCACCCGGGTCCACGCTGCCTGACAGGCCGTGCCGCGGTGGGCGCTGCCCCCTGCCGGCCGCAGCAGAGACAGAGGAGGCTGGTGCCCTTGAGCGGATGGGATGCCTGCAGGGGGCTGGAACTGTCTTTCTTTGTGAGGCATCTCTGAGGGGCCCTGATTCCCATTTACTAGGTGGAAAAGCTGAGGCGTGGGAGCTGCCGTCCTCTGAGGACAGAACAAGGAAAGAATCAAGTGCTGGGATTTGAACCCAGAGCCTTTGTTTTAACAACGACTCTGTTAGGGCCTGGACAGGTGTCAGGACCCCTGCCCCTCTGGGGCGGGGTAGGCGTGTCCACCCTTTCTCAGGGAGCCCGAGGCCCAGGCACCCAGCTCCGGAAGTGGACATGACTCTGAGCTACTGCATGCCCACCTTGGGCTGGAACACACGTGGACATCTGTGCTCTCTCCAGAGAGGACGTTCGAGGCAGGGGCTAAAAGAAGGGACCCAGAATCTCTGCACACAGTGGCTGGGCACAGTGGCTCATGCCTATAAACCCAGCACTCTGGGAAGCCGAGGTGGGAGGACTGCTCGAGGCCAGGAGTTTGAGACCAGCCTGCACATCACAGTGAGATCCTATCGCTACAAAAAATAAAAATAAAAACAATTAGCTGGCTGTGGTGGTGCACACCTGTAGTCCCAGCTATCAGGGAGGCCTGAGATGAGAGGGTCGCATGAGCCAGGGAGGTCAAGGTTCCAGTGAGCCATGATCCTGCCACTGCCCTCCAGCTTGAGAGACAGAGCAAGACTATGTCTCAAAAAGACGAATTTTTTAGTAGAGACAGGGTCTCATTGCGTTGCCCAGGCTGGTTCCAAACTCCTGGCCTTGAGCAATCCTCCCGCCTCCACCTCCCAAAGTGCTGGGATTACAGGCTCAAACCACCAGGCCCAGCCTACAACATTTTTTTTTTTTTTTGAGATGGAGTCTCGCTCTGTCGTCCAGGCTGGAGTGCAGTGGCCGGATCTCGGCTCACTGCAAGCTCCGCCTCCCGGGTTTACGCCTTTCTCCTGCCTCAGCCTCCCGAGTAGCTGGGACTACAGGCACCCGCCACCTCGCCCTGCTAGTTTTTTGTATTTTTTAGTAGAGACGGGGTTTCACCGTGTTAGCCAGGATGGTCTTGATCTTGTGACCTCGTGATCCGCCTGTCTCGGCCTCCCAAAGCGCTGGGATTACAGGCTTGAGCCACCGCGCCTGGCTGCAAAATATTTTTAAAAAATTAACTGGGCATAGTGGCGGTGGCCGTAGTCCCAGCTACTCGGGAGGCTGAGCGGGGAGGATTGCTTGGATCCAGGAGTTCCCGGCTGAGTTACTACCTGGAGGCGGACAGATAAGGATATGAGGCTGAAAGTCTGGCTTTTCACCACATCTAGGCCCCATGGGTGGGCTTGAGAAAAGAGAGGAGATGGGGCTGGACATGGGTGAGGAGCGGGCAGGAGGGCTACAGCCAGTCCCGCCGGCTCCTGCTGTCCCCGGCCTGCCAGCAGGACCCAGATCCATCCCAGCGGGGGCTGCGCACAGCTCCGCTCCCCTGGGTGGAGCCTGGAGCGCCCTAATTTACAGTCCACTGCAGCATGTCGGAGCTCGCAGGCTTCCTCTCCAGCTGCCAGGGAGCACGAGCCAGTTCTGGAAAAGGGGCCCGGGGTGGTGCCAGCATTCCAGGGCCACCTAAATCACCGGCCTGACAGGTGGTGGGAAGGGATTGCAATTCTTTCCCTTGTCGCTGCCACCAGCCAGGTGCTGAGGGGCGTCCTGTCCCACTCTGTCTCAGCCCCAGGGGCTCCGAGTGACCTGCCGGATGGGGACGGCTGCTGGGCCAGCCTGTCCGGGGCTCTCCGCTCCAGTGCCCAGGAATTTGGAGACGGGGCCTGGGCGTGTTTTCCACATGTTGTTGGCTTTGGGGACAGGCCCAGAGAAGGGATAGCTCAAGATCTGCAGGGGGGTTGAGGCCATGGGCGGCGGGGGCCAGCTTCCACTTGCTGGCAGGTCACTGGCACGCTCCCGCCCTGCCCTGGGAACTGGGGGAAGCAGAGGGGTCCGTCCAGCCATCTCCCCTCCTGGCTCCCGATGGCCCTAGCCTGATGCACTACCACTTCTCTGGGGCCAGGCTGGTACACTTGGCAGGGACGGCAGGCGGCAGGCAGGCGCGTGTGCGGGGGGCCTTATCTTATCTCCCTTCCTCACTCCCTCCCAGATCTGCCCTCGCTGGCCACTGTGTCGCCGTCACCAAGCCCTCCGGACACTGACACACACATAGACACAGAATTTATTTTTGGACGCATTCTGCGGGCTGGAGGTCCCGGCTGGCACAGGGCTCACACCTTGGGTTTTGCAAACATTTCCCAGCCCTCCAGCCGGCCCATCTTGACCAGGGAGGCCGCTATGCCCAAGCACACGCAGGCGCTGGCGCCGATCCCGTAGCTGTGCGCTGTGGGAGTGGGGAGGTGATGTCAGGGCCGGGTGCGGCTCGGCCAAACCAAGACGCTCCACGCCCTGGCCAGTGCCCACCCGGGGAGCCAGAGTGAGACCCCTGACAGGACACTCTCTTCAGGGATTAAGTCACTCAGGAGGAGGGCCCTGGACTCTGGAGATGTGGAAACTGACGCACACAGGGAGGCTGGAGTCCAGGTCGCTTCCCAGCAGGAACCCAGGCTGCGGGTCCTCATCCCGCCCCACACTGATTGCCTCCTATGAGAGGGACACTGTGCTGCCCCCGCCTGGGGCTGCGGCAAGGCTGGGCACCGGGCAGTGGTGACACATCAGTGTGTCTCAGTTTCTCCTCTGCTCATGGATGCCAGGGCTAGGCCATGCATCTGTCCCGTGGTTGGTGTACCAAGGAGCCTAGATGGTGCCCCCACTTCCCCGGGCTCTCCTGCTCCAAAGCCCCTGGGCCAGAGGAGGAAGGAGGTGTGTCCCACACACCAGGACCTACAGGGACTCACACCCTTTGAAGAGAGACAGGGAGGCTGGCTTGGGGACGGGGAGCAGTTCCAGCCCAAGCTAGGCTACAGTCAAGACCTCAACCCGGCCGGGCGCGGTGGCTCAAGCCTGTAATCCCAGCACTTTGGGAGGCCGAGGCGGGCGGATCACAAGGTCAGGAGATCGAGACCACAGTGAAACCCCGTCTCTACTAAAAATACAAAAAATTAGCCGGGCGAGGTGGCGGGCGCCTGTAGTCCCAGCTACTCAGGAGGCTGAGGCAGGAGAATGGCGGGAACCCGGGAGGCGGAGCTTGCAGTGAGCCGAGATCGCGCCACTGCACTCCAGCCTGGGCAACAGCGTGAGACTCCGTCTCAAAAAAAAAAAAGACCTCAACCCACCTCCAACCTCTGACCAGTTCCAGTGGGAGCGGGGGAGGGACAGGGCCTCCCCAAGGTCTTGACGCAGAGACAGAATAGGCCCTGCCCTCGCACCCTCCCTCTCTGCCTGCCCGGAACCTGCCATCCATCACTCCCAACATGCCAGGCCAGAGCGGCTGAGTTGCAAGAAGGCTCATTCACTCCTCCCGCTGGCCCTGAGGGCCCGAGCCTTGGCGGGCTGAGGGTAGGCCAGGGGCACAGGCGGGCACTGACCCTGAGCCTGGGCCCGTGGGAGAGCAGGAGGAGTGGTGTCTGGCTCATGCTCGAAGCGGGTTCCCCTGTGCCAAGCGGGGCCTCCTCCACCAGGGCTGCACCCTCTGATGGCTGCAAAGAAGGCCACTTGCTCCTCCAGGTGACTTTGGGCCAATTCATTCCCTCCCTGAGCCCTAATGCCCTTTTCTGTAAAGTGAAGGTTGCGGGGGCAGCTCCCCTGCAGGGCTCCAGGTGCAGGGAGAGAGCTGGCAGGGCGAGGACCAGCATCTCCTCTCTGACTCACAGGCCAGTGGCAGAGACAGGTGGTGACCTTGGTGACCTGTGTCCTCTGACAAGGCATGCAGAAGGAAGGGGACACAGAGTGAGGGTGGCGGGGATGCTGGCTTGTACACAGGTTGGTCAGGACAGTGAGGGGAACAGCATTCCAGGCAGTGCACTGCCATGCAAAGGCCCTGGGGCAGGACTGTGCCTGGCATGTGGGAGGAACAGCAAGGAGGCCTGTGTGGCTGGAGCAGAGTGAGGAGGGGAGGGTGGAGAGGGGACAGGGCAGGTCAGGGAGGGCCCTATGGGCTGAGATGAAGGCTTAGTGTGGTGGTACACAGTAAGTGCTTAAGCAGCAGCAGCAACTGTCGCTATGACTGAAATGGCTGGTGTTCAAGAAGGCTGCTTTGCTCCTTGTCTGGGATGGAACAGAGAGGGTAGAGGATGAGCAGAGGTCAGGGGTCATTCTGCCAGGCTGGGAGGAAGGTGGGGGTGGGGAGCGGTCTACTCACTGCGTGCCCCCAGAGTCAGGCCTCCGGCGCAGCCACCGAGGAAATAGTTCAGGGGGTCGTCGGGCTTCTCGCGGACCTGGGCGCTGATGCAGGAGGTGAGGCCAAACACGGCCCCGACAGCAGCTGCGGGGTAGATGGGAAGAGTTGGCGCTGAGCAAGGGCCTGAGAGGGGCGCAGCAGGAGCCTCTTGGGCGCTCACTGCCAGCGTCTAGATGGAGACAGACGCCATGGCTCAGCCACTTGCTGTGCATGGCAGCCTCCCGGCCCCAGTCCTGGAGTTGGTGTCCTGGGCCTCCCTACCCTACATGTGTTCCCGATAAAGGAACACCCGACTTTCTCCTGGTGGCCGGCACTGGGGACACAGGCTGGGGAGTGAGGGAGAAGAGGCAGCTGTGAAATGTGCTCCGAGAGCTGCGGCTGTGCCAGGAGAGGGCCCAGCCATGCCTAGACCAGCTTGCTCACCTGCAGTGAACGTGTATTGTCCGACCTTAGCCACTCCTTCAAGGAAGGTGCCCGGAGGATTGAGTATGACTCTGTAGGCAGCGGCGGTCAGGCCTGCGAGACAGAGGGGAGGGAGGCTGCTCAGACCCCATTGCTGCTAAGCCCTTGCTTGGCCGGGCACCCCACTGGGTGGTCTCTCCCTCAGTCCTCATAATGCCCCCAGGTGGCTCCCAGTAGCCCCCCTTCTTTGCCCATGGTGCCTCCGGCTGCTGAGTGGCAGAGTTGGATTTGAACTCGGGTTTGCTGCTCCCAAGTTGGGGGGCCTCTCACTTCCTTCCCCACTCCCTGCCAGGCCTCCCTTAGCCACTTTCTCAAGCCTGACCAGTACTGGCTCCTGCAGAGCACCTGCTGGGCACCCATCAGCCATGTTGGCCCTAGCTGCGCACCGGCCGGCAGATGGAGACTCATCCACATGGTGGACACAAGAACAGGCCTGAGACCTTGGTTCTGCAGCTGCTTCCGGCCTGCTCAGCTCAGCGGGCCAGCTCAGCGGTGCGCCCTACAGGCCCTGGCACCAGGGCCCCAGCTCTGGGTTCCCATCAATGGCTCTATTCTCCTGTGGGGCCCGGGGCTCCTGGGCCTAATCCCCCTTGGCAGCCGCTCTGCTTCCCTCCCTGGCTGCCAACGCCTCCTCCTTGCCACTCTCGACCCCCTCCTGCTGGCAGCTCGGGCCTGGGCTCGTTCTGCACACCTGGCTGCCTGGCTACCGCCCCCGCTGCCCAGCCTCACCCCTCCGGTCAGCTTTTCCATCTCTGCCATCTCCCCCGGCCGCCTGGCCCCTGACATTGGCTTCTATGCAGGAGGAGCCTGGGCAGGGGCTGCGCCCAGAACCCAGGACCAGGTAGGTGGCAGGGACAGAGGTTTGATCCCAGCCCACTGTCCCTGTTGGGAGCCTAGGGGCCTCACT